ATTTATAAATATCACAATTAAAGGTGTTTAGAAATGCATATCGGGAGAAAGTGCACAACAAGTTTGGAGTGCAGTGAGTGATGTGCAGTGAGTGCGACAACTAATTATTGTCATTAACACGTTGAGTTCCAAGGGGGTCCTCTTTTGCGTGCTATTGTGACCATACGTGTGATCATGTGGGACTCAACGTGTTAACCACGGCGAGGTGCCGACTTCGTGCTCTTTGCTGACTGGGGGTGTGTTTTTCAGGCCAACAACAGTACGCTCCGCCCGTGAGCGAGATCTGCCTGGGCTGCATCTGCGAGGCCGTCTCCAACTGCAACCAGTCGCTGCGCTGCACTGGCGACGTGTGCGGCGTCTTCAGGATCACCTGGCCCTACTGGGCGGACGCGGGCAAGCCCGTGCTCGCGCAGGACAAGCCCGAGGACGACGGAGGTGAGCACGCACACCAATCAATCAAAATCAGTCAATACCAATCAATATCAATCAATATCAATCAATATCAATCAGTTGTAATTATCAATCGATATCAATCAATTGTAATTAATATCAATAGACATCAATCAATTTTAATCAATACTTCATTAGTCAAGAGTTATCAATACCTGACAAAATTAATTGATTGATTGATAGACTAATTAATGAACCCCATCTATCGATCTAATTCAAAGTTTTCCTCTCTGACCTGTTTTAGCGTACGCCCGATGTGCCAACGAGCCCTACTGCGCTGCCCGTGCCGTGCAAGGCTACATGGCCAAATACGCCCAGGTGAGAAATTGCGCACACTGTAAAGTTGACAGACAGACAGACAGACAGACAGACAGACAGACAGACAGACAGACAGACAGAAGACACTACCCGGTAATGATTCAGTTTGTCACTGAAAAAATAAATGATAGTGGGTAAATTGTAGCTTGCACCCACAGTCCTGCTACTGGTCCCGTTGCCTTGATAAGTGCGACCCAACTGACGCGCGTCTGGCAGCGCCTACTTTTGTTGTCGCGGGTATGCGACTTGCGGGCTGTGGGCGACGCTATAGCATCCAAGTAGTCGTTGCGGCCTCGGCAATTGACGCGGAAACGAAAGCCTGATGACGCGTGTGGTAGCTGCAACTGAATCTGTGTGTGCTCTGTCTCCAGGACTGCACCGGCGACGGCGTCGTGGACTGCTACGACTACGCGGCCCTGCACCGCCTCGGCGGCTACGGCTGCCGCGGCAACCTGGACCAGGCGTTCCAGGACAAGTTCAGCCGCTGCATGGTGCAGGTGGCGCAGCTCAACGGCGGACAGGTCAACTAGAGCCTCCTACTAGGGTTGCAAGCCCTGGAAAGTTCCCGGAAAATTTCAGGAAAATTTCTGAAAAAGACGGAAAATTTCCGGGAAAAATGAAAAATTTCGCAGATTTTGGAAAGTTTTTCGTGTATTTTCGAAAAGTTTTCTGAAATTTTCCGGAAAATTCGGGAAATTTTCAACCCTACCTCCTACGGACTGCGACGACGACCTGCCTCACCGCGGCCGTGTGTCCTCCGGACGGAGATCCAGCGGCGAGCCCCCCTTCCCCCTCCCCTCCCCGCACCGGAAGCGGAAGTCGACTGAATAGCAACGGAGACAACGATTCCAGCCGACAATGTGACTCATCGGCTCGGCTTAATCCCCCGTCATGGGTTATTTTCAAGTTTATTGTGATTTGTTTCGTGTCTTTCATCATTTTTCGCTGCTCATCCTTGTGTTTTAAAAATACGCCGTCTTCCTCGCATCGCCGGCCGCCCCGCCACCGGAACTCGAAAATAAAAGAAAATAATAATAAAAAAGAAACAGGTGCGCATGAAAACGACTATGACTGACTAAAAGCAGTGATTTCAGCGGAGCCGGCACCAGCGCCGCCAGTGTTCTTAAACGCACACTCACACCCATACTGCCGTAGCTTGTATATTTTTGCATAAGGAGCGATGAATAAAACGAGTTCCAGACCTTGAACCTTTTGTCGCGACCTCTTCTGCGGGGGAACCTTCGCCGGACCCACGCACACGGGCCGGGCGACACCCGCTGCACCGAGACGGGGACTGTCTGTAATCCATGGGTGTTGTGCATTACTGTAATAGAATGATCAGCTTTACGTTTAAAGAAAAAAAAACGAAGAAAAAAT